GCCTCCGACGAGTGCTTCCTGCCCGAGGCCAAGGTCAGCCGGCAGCCCGGCCCGTCGGGGGACCCGGGTCCGGTGTCCGTCGAGAGCGGACAGCCCGTCTCCTGGACCCAGGAAGAGAACTACATCTTCAGGCTCTCGCAGTTCCGGGAGCCGCTGCAGCGCTGGCTGCGGGACCACCCTCAGGCCATCACCCCCGAGCCCTTCCAGCGCACGGTCCTCCAGTGGCTGGAGGAGGACCTGCCGGACCTGTCGGTCTCTCGCAAGAGTAGCTACTTGCACTGGGGCATTCCGGTGCCCGGGGACGACTCGCAGACCATCTACGTGTGGCTGGACGCCTTGGTCAACTACCTGACCGTCCTCGGCTACCCCAGTGCCGAGTTCGAGGCCTGGTGGCCCACCACCTCTCATGTCATAGGCAAGGACATCCTCAAGTTCCATGCCATCTATTGGCCCGCCTTCCTCTTGGGGGCCGGCCTGAGCCCGCCACACCGCATCTATGTCCACTCCCACTGGACAGTCTGTGGCCAAAAGATGTCCAAGAGCTTGGGCAACGTCGTGGATCCCAAAGCTTGCCTCGACCGCTATACTGTGGATGGCTTCCGCTACTTCCTCCTCCGCCAGGGCGTCCCCACCTGGGACTGCGATTACTATGAGGAAAAGGTGGTGAAGCTGCTTGACTCCGAGCTGGCAGACGCGTTGGGCGGCCTCCTGAACCGATGCACTGCCCAGAGAATAAACCCTTCGGGGACCTACCCGGCCTTCTGCGCCCCCTGCTTTCCCAGTGAGCCCGGCTTGGCGGGGCCGGCGGCTCGCGCTGGGCCAGAGGACTACGCGCTGGTGAGCGCAGTGGCCACGTTGCCCAGGCAGGTGGCAGACCACTACGCGAACTTTCAGATCTACAAGGCCCTGGAGGCAGTGTCCAGCTGTGTCCGGCAGACCAATGGCTTTGTCCAAAGGCACGCGCCGTGGAAGCTGAGTTGGGAGAACCCCGTGGACGCCCCCTGGCTGGGCACGGTGCTTCACGTGGCCTTGGAATGTTTGCGGATCTTCGGGACTCTGCTCCAGCCTGTCACCCCAAGCCTGGCTGACAAGCTGCTGTCCAGGTTGGGGGTCTCTGCCGCAGAGAGGGGCCTTGGAGAGCTCTCTTTCTTGCCTCGATTCTACGGACATCCTTGCCCTTTTGAAGGGAGGCGGCTGGGACCTGAAACTGGGCTCCTGTTTCCACGACTGGACCAGTCCAGGGCCTGGCTGGTCAAAGCCCATAGGACCTAGAAACTCAGTTCTTACGGTTTCTGGCTTGTGGTAAAAAGAGCAAGTGTGTTGTTTTGCATTTTCAGGAAAGTTATATTAACGTTTTCTTAAGTGTTGCACCAAATGAGCACATAAGCGATGTCCCTGTGAAAAGAGGTTTAAAACGTTTCAGGTGCCCAGCCCCCTCTTGTTTTCTCTGCCCACTCATTAACCACTGCCCTTTGTATGCCAGTGTCTCTACGATGTCTCTAAAAAGAAAGATGGGAGAGGCAACTCTGCTGAGACCATTCTTTCTTCTGGTGCCTCCTTCCAAACCAGTTAGGTTATTTACCCGGACTACCTCTCATGGCTTGTTTTCCATTGGCTGCCAGCCTCTGCCCCGGGAATCGGAGTTGGGATTGGAGGTCTCTACCTCAGCTTTAAGCCCTATTTTGTTACATATGTTGGGTCTCCTGTTAAAAAGAGATTCTTTTATTAACCTTTACAAATTCAGTGTCCTAGACTAGATGTTTATATTTTCGGTTCTTAAAATCATGACCAATGATTAATATTAGCAGTCCAATAGTTGTGCTTTGTAACACTACACTCCAACCAGTAGATGGCTCTAGTCTCACATGTGCAATTAAGATGGAGGTTCAGAGTCTTTAGAAGAAATTTGTTTTCTTTCTAATTTTGCAGAATTTAAGAAAATTTTTATTGCTTTTCTTAAAATGAGGGATAACTGCAACCACTGCTGTTTTACAGAAAGCCATAAAAAATATCAGAATCCTCAGCTTTCTTCAGACTACTGAAAAAGGACATTTAGTCTAATTAAACATTTACTATGCTAATAAGTAAATATATCAAGTTTGTTCGGACTATCTATGATAAATTGTAAAGCTCTCTTGAGGTACTTGGTATGTTAAAATTTTAAACTTTAATAACAGTAAATTTAGAGGTATGATTTAAAAAATCTTAAGTTGTTCAAAAGGGCAGTATTTTCTTTATATTTTTTAGCCATTATTTTGTTATTCACATACATAATTTACCTTATATGATTTCTTTTGGTCAATCAGCATCGATAACACAATACAGAAATTGTACAATAGTTACTATAAATGTTAATACATTTACTTTTAAGTAGTTTTTACTGATTATTTCTTATGCTCTTTTAACTTGTTATTAAAGTTTAAAAGTTTGTAAGTACCTTATTCAGATTCATACTGTTGGATTTGTTGAAGGTGGTGGTGAAGGGAGGAATGATCAATGCTCCAAGAAACTCACACTGGATTTAAGGAGCTCTCCAAGGCCCCATAACAACACAGAAAAGATGTTAAGGTATCAGTTATATAAGGACAACACTGTGAGCCAGCATTGTATCTGATAGGTGACTGATTGGACAGCCAGGCCACAGTTGAGAACTTGCCTTGAAATACCCATTCTAAGCATGGTAGCAAGCAGAGAGGGCTCATTATGAAGTAACTTATTAGGTTGCTAGTTCCCCAGATTTATTCTGTGTGCTTCTGTTTAGCTCCAGTTTCCACTGAGAGGTTGTTTGCTTGGGAACATTACTTAAAAAAGAATGCTTGAAGGTATTCTAAAGTGGAAGGATGGTTTTGACAAATGTTCCTTCAGACCTGGACTTCCCATATGACGTATTCCAGTTACCTGCTGGGATTCGTAGGGCAGATTACGGGGGCCTAGGATTGAATATATCTCCTAGGGCTGGACGGAGCAGAGTAGGG